CTGATGATCAGTTTTATGAAGTATTAAGGGTATCTCAGCAGAAATTCCCCTCTGAAAGATAAGCATTTGAAATTGAGCTATGGAAAAAATCAAATTATTAATTTAAAATTGTTTGTGGTGGATGCTCGGCTTTTCCCCTTTCACGCAATACAAAAGAACACGCAGTGAATGGAAAATAAATCACCTATGGTATCGAGGCTTCCATATGGCCTCAACTATTTTACTTTTGTCGTATTATTAGTATTTCAACAAAACTACTAAAATTAATTGTAAATTACAATTTTGGGATTATAAAACAAGCAAATTAAAACATCATATTAGCTAGTCAGAAGCCTCCCGATCTGATAACTCAGCGGTAAGATTTTGGAGATTTATCGGTTTCCATGGAAGAGTGTACATATCCAGTACATATGTTATTTTCTTTACATTCGCACCATGCATATATTACGTTCATTTCATGAATTTAACTTATTCCAGTCAAGCTCTATTCTGATGAGTGACAGACGCTACAATAGACCATTTTCCGTTCACTGCGAGAATCACGCGTTATGTGTGAAATCGAACGTAAAAACAGGACAAACAAAGGTCATAGCATCGTAGTGGCGTCAAACATCGCGTGGGATTCGACAAACATGAAAGTATTTTGGGGGACATTTCCATGCTTAATGATGTGCTGTCGACATTTGATGATAGACAATTTCGATTAAGTAAGGATATTCGGAATCAAAATTCCTCTGTCAAAGATCGGCCGGTTGATGTGAGCTACGAAATAAAGAATTTTGAGTTCAAAATCAAATCGTTCGATTTTTGCGGCAGACGTTCGACGCGCGTCTTTCATGCATCTCGCAAGATCTCGCAATTGTACGGAAAATCATCTATTCATCAAGATGTATGTCTGACAGGTTTTTAAAAAAAGTTGTGGAACTGTATAATTTTAGCTTATTAACATTTATGTTTAATATTTAGCATTAATTTAAGGCAATAGTAAAGCATTACCATATTTCTCCATTAGATGTGCATGAAAAAATAAAAAAAATATTTTAAGAACACAAACATGATTTAATTCAATGACTGCCAAAGTCAACCATGGTCATTTTTCACATAATAAATACACATTTTTTTTTCTATACAATTTGATCTAAACCAGTAGCCAATTCTAAACAATACAAAAACACATAAAAGGTGAAATAACATGTTTTCTCTACTAGAAGGCATTGCCAATCGAAGTACCATACACGTAAACCAACAATAGCATTCGTTATATACTGAATTATTTAAATACTACCTTTTTGACATAGTTATACCTCTGTCATTTTCACAAGTGCATGAGCAGCTAATAGATCAATACAGTATGTACATCATGTATGTGGTACCAAAGTTTTAGTTGGAAAATAGATAACAGGATTTTTTTACTTATTAAGCACATCAAATAGAGAAATAATTGTATGTACAGAAATAGCGATAGATTTACTACCTTTGGATTACTGCTGCATTAATTTATATAAGCATAGATACTGCAAAGTAAGTACAGTTTGCAAGAAACAATTAATAGCACACAATTAAAATCAGTTAATACAGTCATTTATATCAGTTAATGCAGTCAATGAAGTCAGTTAATGTAGTCATTGAAATCAGTTAATGCAGTCATTGAAATCAGTTAATACTGTCATTGAAATCAGTTAATGCAGTCATTGAAATCAGCTGATACAGTCATTGAATAATTGAATACAATCATTGAAATCAGCTGATATGGTCATTGAAATCAGGTAATACAGTCCGTCATTGAAATCAGTTAATAGTCATTAAAATCAGCTTATACAGTCATTGTAACCAGTTAAACGGTCATTGGAAATCAGTTAATACAGTCATTAAATACAGTCATTGAAATTGGCAGGCATTGTCATTGTAGTCAGTTAATATGGTTATTGCAATCAGCTAATCAGTTGATACTGTCAATGAAATCAGTTGATACTGTCAATGAAATCAGCTGATACTGTCAATGAAATCAGCTGATACTGTCAATGCAATCAGCTGATACTGTCAATGCAATCAGCTGATACTGTCAATGAAATCAGCTGATACTGTCAATGAAATCAGTTGATACTGTCAATGAAATCAACTGATACTGTCAATGAAATCAACTGATACTGTCAATGAAATCAGTTGATACTGTCAATGAAATCAGTTGATACTGTCAATGAAATCAGTTGATACTGTCAATGAAATCAGTTGATACTGTCAATGAAATCAGCTGATACTGTCAATGAAATCAGTTGATACTGTCAATGAAATCAGCTGATACTGTCAATGAAATCAGTTGATACTGTCAATGAAATCAGTTGATACTGTCAATGAACCTGTGATAGTGACCATCATTGTATACAAACTATCAGTCCATAGTGATTCACAAATTTAATAATTAATCTGCATATAAAGACCACCCTGTCTATAAAAGACAATTTAGATAGTCACTATACACAGCTTAGACTGTACCTGAATTATGAATGATTCCAAACAGTTTGATATATTTTACACTTCCTCTATAATTGACACTATAATGTTCGATAGAAGGAATTAGACTAGAATTATATGTACATGTTTGATGTAGGGTGCAGAATCCATGAACAATGTAATGAAAATGAATGACGTTTCATGCTAGCATGCTCTTGCAGCAATCAACAAAGATGTGGAGAAACAACCATATTATTGATTTCGCCAACAAAAATTTTGAAAATAAAAAAAATGTTAATGAGCACCGTTCAGCTATTCCAGTAGCCAAATTAATACAAAACATCTTCAGTGTCAGACAGCGGTGGATGGCCGATTTGTCCCACAGGTTGAATCTTCCAATGAGTTTATTCGCCCCAATTTTTATTTATTCCACAAGTTTATTCTTCCCAAAGTCGATTCATTCGATTTATTAGGTTAGCCTGATACTGACTCGTCCAATACGTGCAACAAGATCCTAACAAACTATATCTACTGGGTAATCGTCATTACGCACTCATCGTACATACAAGAGCATTTATTCTATTACACTTCAGAACACGTTTATCCGTCAATTGTCAAATCAAGTTATTCATTTCAAGATTATAGTGTAATTAATGTTCTAAAAATGGTAAATCTGGTGAAAGTTTTTTTATTTTTAAATACATTTTGTATGGATGGAGAAACACAGTAAATATTGTTGTAATTTATATACAAGCACCATGCATAATAGTCTTGTTACCAATATATAAAAGTCTCCCTACACAAGTTTGTATAAAGGCTAACCAAACGCAATTGAACGAAAGTGAATTGGAGCGAATAGACTTGTGGCATGAATGTGTTGGGACAAAACGTGAATTGGGACGAATTGACTGTGAATCCAGACAGAAACCATCACCAATTCACAATAGATTATTTTCTTACTAATTTAGTTTATAATTATACCTTTCCATTTCTTTTTACTTTGCAATTAATGTAACTTTCATTTTTTTTTCAGACATTACTGCTGTCCACTCCAGATTCAATGTTTTGTCAATAAACAAATATACAATTTATTAATATAAAAAAAAAAACATGGTTCTTACCATCCATTAAATCATTATCGTCAGATGCAGTTGCAGTTGATTCATTCTCTTTCACAGATGCAGCAACTGTTGCAGTCATCTCTGGTGGTAGAGGTGCAAGTGCTGGGATCTCGGCACACACTGCATCATGGGTACTGTTGCCAGTAAACTCAAAGATCTGACCAAGAGCAGAACAGTCAGTGCGAGGGGTACAAGATGTCCGACTGTTAATCGTACTGGAGTACGTTTTCTTCGGACAACGTCGACACCGAACATCGAAACCATACTGAGCTACAAGAAAAAGTATAAAACTTTAAAAATGATATTTGCACATAATAAAACAACATGTATTATAGTACAATTTAAAATAGTTAATCAATTATGGCTAATGATTCCTGCTAAAATTGTGTTTTATGTATTTTTCTAAAATTTTTAAAAAATACTGATAAGCAATGAATTGGGTAATCAAAAATATCGTGAACAGATGTCAAAGTGTACTTGCACTGGATTGATTCAGACGACTGTTAGTTTGGAAAGTTAGTCAGCATCAGAAAATCTTAGCAGTATCTTAATAATTGTGTTTTGATTAAACATTCTATCTAGTGTGTGGCCCAAATGTACATGCAATTACAAAATCATGTTGAGTTGCCATGGTGACTGCTGGAGAGTGGATATTCAAGATAAAATAAAGACTGTATATGGCTTAAGGGAGCTTCTAAACTTATTTTGTTTTTAAATGTTAATTTCATTGTAATCTAAACTTCATAGTAAGATTTTTTTCAAGATTACTGCATCATTGTATGATTTACTATTGTGTCTTGCATCACAATTTTTTTTTTTTTTGCAACAGTGTTGCGTTATATCGAGGGTATACTATTTCTATCTATACTGACCTCTCAGTGACACCCTCTCCCCAGGCGGACAGGATTGTCTTGTACACCTGCTATCATAAATCGGATAAGTACCCGGCAAGCAACCACATTTTTGTTCATGAACACCATCACAGTTCTGGACAACCTATGATGAACCATAATTAATAAAATCAATCCTGAATTTGTCAATGTAATGAAATTTTGTATAAATTTACATCAGTGTCAGTGACAACTTCTATATCCAGACTACCTTACCTATAGTATCTACACTTTAGGCAGTCCAAAGGCATAACATATGAGCAACCTGTGTATAAAAACCACCTTTCTCAATAGGTGATTTTTCGTACAATTGCGAGATCTCGCGAGATGCATGAAAGACGCGCGTCGATTGTCTGCCGCAAAAATCGAACGATTTGATTTTGAACTAGAATTTCTTTATTTCGTAGCTTACATTGACCGGCCGATCTTCGACAGAGAAATATTGCTTCCGAATACCCTTACTTAATCGAAATTGCCTATCATCAAATGTGGACAGCTCATTATTATGCATGGAAATGTCCCCGAAATACTTTCGCGTTTGTCGAATCCCACGCGATGTTTGACGCCACTACGACGCTATGACCTTTGTTTGTCCTGTTTTTACGTTCGATTTCACGCATAACGCGTGATTCTCGCAGTGAACGGAAAATGGTCTATTGATCACCCTATCACCCTAGTTCTGGAGACTAGTCTTTGTTTAGAGAGTGAAATAATAATTAGCATACTGTTTATGAAACAAATTTTAATTTTCTCAAATCAAACTTATTAGATTTTGATTTTCATCAGCTCAAATAAATGTATTTTTGTTGCAAAAGTACTATCTAATTATTTCTAAACAAATATCATGTCAAATGTACGAGTTAGTGATCCATAAAAAATCCAATCCAACCTCCATATAAAAATCACCTGTCTATAACAACCATTTTTATGAAGTCCCTTGGGTGTACACTATACACAGGTTTAACTGTAGTTCACTTCAATTATCTCTGAGATTTAACAAAAGCCAAATTTTCATGAATTGCATAAAAAATAACTAACTGGAAGAATTTGAACATATTTAGTCAAGTAGAATGGGATATTTTAAAATTGTTCAACATTTGGTGTTGTTTATTTTTAGTACCAGGTAATCAAAGAAACAGATCTGGTTTTGCATGAAAAAATAAGATATAAATCAAGTCATTGAAAATGACACAGTCCCCGTTAAATTTTTGAAAGTTCTCTTTGTGCTCGTCATATTAAAGCGGAGGGGTTGTCGCGAGCGTGTCTTTGAAACTTGAGTCCCAAGTGGCGTATACAACAGATTGTTTATTTACATCAAAACACGTGTTTCGTGTAGTAGTACAATGTAATATGGCCAAAAATAAAAACAGCTGTTATTCGGCCATCTTTGATCTGATTATGAAACAAACTGACATGTATGATGTATGTGCCAAATACGAATGAAAATTGTACATAAATTGTGGAAATATAGTAGTAAGGCCAAAAAGTCAGATGGATGTCAATCGGCCATCCATGATCAGATTTTGAAACAAATTGTCATGGACATGGATCCTAACATGTATAAAGTATGTGCCAAATTTGAATGAAAACTGACAAAGCACGTCCAAGATATCGCATATAAAAAACAAAACAAGATGCCTGACAGTCGGCCATCTTTGATCCAATTGCGAAAGAAATCGTAATGGACATGTATCCTAACATGTATAATCTATGTACCAAGTTTGAATGAAAACTGACAAAGCATGTCCAAAATACATTGTACAACATTTTCAAAAAACAAGATGGCTGCAAGTCGGCCATTTTGAGTCAAATCACTAAACCACTGCATGTGCATATGTCCCACATAAGGTACTAGGCACATGCAAAGAATGAACGGAATCTGTCCAAAGGATTCTGAAATATGACTCTGGACAGACTGGCGGACGGACGGTCGGTCGGAGGACATGTATCCTAACATGTATAATCTATGTACCAAATTTGAATGAAAACTTACAAAGCATGTCCAAAATACAACATTTTCAAAAAACAAGATGGCTGTCAGTCGGCCATTTTGAATCAAATCGCTAAACCACTGCATGTGCATATGTCTCACATAAAATACTAGGCACATGTAAAGAATGAACAGAATCGGTCCAAAGGATTCTGAGATATGACTCCAGACGGACGCACGGCGACCGAATTATAAGTTTTCGGACTTCGTCTGAGCGAAGACTAATAAAATGTAAACAAATTTGGTATTTTTTACCACTTCTAAAAGATATATTTATCACATTTCATAACCAAAATATGTAAATAGACTGTAATTCTGTCATTCACATGTCACTTGAAAAGTAGTAAAACAACTGAATAATATACATTTAGAAGCTTTCTCAACAAACAAAATTCATTTGAATAACAATCAATCAACATTAAATACAAATAAATACTAGTAAATACTAGTAAGAACAATTATTTGTTTTGACATACCACTTGATTTCGTCCACTGCAGTTTTCTGAACACACCCAACACGATGGACATGAATTATAGTACGGCATATACAACCCTTCATCGCATCGTGAACAACTGAAAACAAAAAACAATTTATCATTAGACTCTGGCTGTGATACTTTGATAGAATCGTTTGTATAATACTGAGATAAATTCAATTTATTAAATATGAGCTCATTATTTAATAAAGATTATATGGAGGGCATGTATATTTAAGCCTGGATAAGTTGTTTAAATATCTCTATTATGATAAACAGTAAGATTTGGAACAAGAAAATCAAAGGGCGAGTTTCAAACTAAAACAAATAATTTTTTGTTGCCTTACTGTATAAATATACAAATATAATCAAACCAGTGTTAGTGACCAGATTCATATACAGACCATCTGCCCTAAAATGACATTTGGGCAATCCCAATGTACAGTACAGTCAAAACGTAACTTAACATTTAGCAAGCTTAAATTGCCACCTAAATATCTCATATTAGTGACGTTGGTAAAAACAACACAGAATACAGGGTTCCCAGGGCTATAAAGAGTAGGGTTTCCAAACTGTTTAATTATGGGTGAACAATAGAGGCCATTTAGCATAACAATGATTACAATAGAGGTGATTAACATACTATATTGTTACACAAATTAGTCTATATTCTATGCAGTTTTGGAGGAGAGAACAATTGAATAGGTTGAAATTGTTGATGACAATAGTACTCACTTAAACATTTTTTTTAGGATTTTGTGAAAAAACAAAGCTGGCTGCTAGCCAGCTTGGAAGTTCAGTTATCCCGCGGGGACCGGTAAATAAAATTGAAAGTCCATTGACCACCTGTAATGATCCTATATTCAAAGGCCAAAATGATGACAGACGATGTTCAGCGTTGTGGTAAAATGACGTAATAGCGAAATGTTGATTTAGGGAATCTCTCGTCATTGTTGATTTCCTGTTTTCACAATACTCTTGTCTGTCGCGTGCCAAAACAAATGCGCAGTTATTACCTCCATAAAAACAAAGAAAAACTGTTAAGTGTAATTAAGAAGCGCCCCAGGTATTTATGTTCCGGATTACTGTATACAAAACCCCAAGCCTTGGCCATTTTGAATTTATAATAAAGTCCTTAGCGACATCTTGAATTAGCGAATCAGTTCTCTCGCTAAATTCTCTGTAAAGACATGCTTGCAAAAAAGACATGTTTTACAGTAGTTTAAAATTGATTATAGTTTATTTACAAATCAAATGGTGGAAATGATTTCTTTGAGTTGTCTTTATACGCACAGATTTCTACATCAAAATGATTGAAACAGAGACTTTATATATAGACATTTTTGGTTTTACATTTTCATAAATGAAGCAATAGAATTCTTACCTTGTTACCGTAGCAACAGTGCATGACTGTGTCATATAGTTACCCGGCTCACAAAGGTCACATGTCAAGCCATTATCAAGTTTGAAAGTTCGTTTGTCAGAATCTTTTTTATAACATCGAAGTCCAACATCAGAGAATGTACTAGTAGTGGTAAGCTAGTTATTAAGAAAAAATGATACTTCATTTAAACTAAAGCACTTTTTAACACATGACTAAATCATCTTTGAATAGCCTAATTTTGAATGTCATGATAATGCCTGTGGTTCAAGGTTAGACCAGTGACAGTACTGCAGCACATGTTTGGCAGCACTGCTGGGAAGAACACACTGTATAGGTAAGGTGTTCACTTACCGGTACGTATAGGGATTGCAGTAATTATTTTAACACACAAAAATCATTAATTTTAATGCTGTGGGGACAGGTTCTTTTTCCTGCAAAATACTGCACACTTTTGAAAAGGAATGCAGTTTGTACAGTTAATGAGCATGTGTGTGTGTGGGGCAAAAAATACTGACAGGGGTATGTAGCTAGTTGTTTGAAAGCCCTACCCCTTATCAGACAGAAATAAACTCAAATTGCCTACCCGTTTTCAGACAAACTGTGGATATTTGACACCCTTTTCCAGTCAGTAAGCATAAATGGTACCAAGGGAAATGCAAGTGGGCTTTACAGAAAAAAAAAAAAATCAGCTTCCTTCTCCTGCTTGTTGGATCACTCAAGCTCTAGAGACAGTCTTTGAAAAATACGGACAGAAATAATGAAAAAAAGATACCCAGACAGACAGGGTAAAATAACATACCCCTTTTCAGACAGCAGTGGTGAATTTGGGACCCCTTTTGGCGGCACATACACATATAGCACTTCAATGTGAGTATCCCCCCCTCCGGGGTGTTTAATATAGGGTGACCCCTGGGAAAGTTTGCTGTTCTAAATGCGCGCACAGGTCTTAGAAATTGCACATTCTTGACCTAGGGTTGTAAAAAATATTTCTGTAAGTACATGAATTTGTCTCCTGATCTGG